ATAGAAAAAAAAATTGAATCATCCCTAATCTCAAAAAAAAAAAAAAACAACTCACATCCTTTTGAGGGAGACAAGAAATATCAGTATTAATATTTACAGAATAAATGCAAAATAAGTGATGTCACAAGAAGATCCAGGTATAAATATTGCATCATCAAAGAAAAAAGTTATATTTAGTGATGTTTGTGCATATTTTATGGTACTCATATCCTTACAAAGTGATTAGCTCTATAACATACATCTTTACCAGAATATTTGGAGAATCAATTATCTACCCATAGTCCTCAATAAACAAATAAAATACATTTATTATTAGTTAAATCTCAATTCAAGCCTTACTCTAGTGCTCTATCATGGAGAATCTTTGATTTCTGAAACACTAAGCAGAGAGCTCAAGCTCTGGCAGGTTTTACCCAGATAGGAAAGCTTGTAGTTCAAGGCTACAGTCAATCTAAGTGTCTGTTGTCCAAAGTACAGCTAAGTTAAAGGAGAGTCATTATCAGGAGGTTAGCTATTAGATCATTGTTTTGGCAACAGTAACTCATGAAGGCCATATTCTAGTAGAGACATCAGTGCAGGTGAAATTTCATCTGGAGATGAAATTGTATAATTTTGGCACCATTGATACATAAGTAAATATGAACTTTCTCTGTACAGTGGGGTCTCTAGAAAGTACTCCAAAAACCCTGAGAAATTTTCTTCCTAGGCAAGTGTTCACACAACACAAACATAGTAGTCAACACAGCAATACTTTCTAGACCCCTGGAGGAAATTGAATATTTATCAAACTTTCCTCCCTTTTCTTCCCAAACATCGAAATACCACATTCATTCCAGGTTGATTTTATTGAAGTCAATATTCCATCTCTTTCCAAAAGTTCATCCATGAAAATCTGAAAATAATATGATTTTGTGAAACTTTTAAAGAATTAATGTTAATGTGCTGAATCTAAGCACAACAGAAATAATAGCCAATTGGTCAGATAATAGATAGGCCTCTAATTTCTAACCCTGAGCACCAGGCACTAAAAAAAAAAATCCTCTTTATTTTTTTCCCATTATATCAAGATGGATATCATAGCATTGTTCTTACATAGGGCTTTTAAACCTTAAAAATATGAAGAAAATAGTTAGGAATAATGGAACTTACTCTATGGTAATACGATCAACCACAGAAATAAACCAGTCCAATATTCCCATTTTACACATGAGAAAGTTGAGAGCCAGAATCCTCAAGTTCCTTGCCCAAGGTTATATGGGGAGTCACAGAGTTGGGAAGTTTACCTTTGCCTTCTGGCTCTAAAGTCAATGCAATTTTGAGTACCTCACACTGATACTTAAGAGATATAACTAGGATGTGACGGTCAGAGTCTTGACTCCAGGGGAGAAAATTTAGGCAAAGAGGACACCAAAGGATATTTTTCCCCCTAATACTTTCTCTGTCATCTCCACATGAGAGCACTGTGTCTGTATTGCAAGGACACTGGCTTCTTTTTCAATAATTTAGAAAACTTTTGGTGTCCTGTGCACCAGATGAACTTTCTTGTTTCCACTCCTTTGCAACATTTGCCTTAGGTAAAGAACAACTCATAAATAAAACTGCTGCCATCCTCAAACATGTTGAATGTTTTCTTTCTTTCTTTCTTTCTTTCTTTCTTTCTTTCTTTCTTTCTTTCTTTCTTTCTTTCTTTCTTTCTTTCTTTCTTTCTTTCTTTCTGTCTGTCTGTCTTTCTTTCTGTCTTTCTTTCTGTCTGTCTGTCTTTCTTTCTGTCTTTCTTTCTTTAGATAATGCAAAATTCCTTGCTTAATTTGCATATCAAATAGAAACATTTGGAATTGTCTTTGCTTTTCAGATGTGAGAGATGGACACCAGATTTTTACCATAAGGTTGCCTTGACACTACTAATATCACAGTGTGTCAACCCATTCACGTCCAAGTAAAGCCAAGACATTCCTAAATATTTCTCATGAGACTTATGCACAACCTTCTCAATGTCAAAGACAAAATTGTCTACCTAAGTTTTCAGTATTGCCACACAAATCATTAAAATGATGATACTAAAGGAGGTTTGAATTGAAGGTGAAGTTCCTAAATACTTTTTTTTAAAAAATCCCTAGTATATTAGAATTGATGGATAATACCATTAAATGCCAAGTTTTCCAATCTACAGTTCCAATACAAGAAATTTTAGGGAAATAACATTAAACACAGACTCCTGGATAAGAATATAAATTTGATTTCCAAATACACACATTCTTTTAACATAGAGGACTTATGAGTCTATTAACTGAAAGAGAACATTAGATGTGCCTCCTGAATAACACAGTATCAAATCTAAGCCTTTATTTGACTTGTTACAAATGTGCCACATTTGTGGAAAGACACAGTAACATTTAAGTCATTTGAAAGTTGCCACTTAAAAAGTTTATTTTCATCATTTTCCTCTATCGTTTATTTCTATTGAGGCAACTTTATAGCATCAGTATGATACCAGTCCTCAGAGCTAGATTTTTTTGTTCTTTCACACAGATTCTTGAAATGGAATTGGATCTATGACTTTATTGGCATATGTAGGAAGACCCAGGCAAAGAAACTCCCTCTACTAATGCAAGTTGGCACATTTTCGGCAACTTACAGTCTTAAAGACCTGCCTATGGGGCTCTGAGATTCAGCAGGTGTCACAACAGGTGGCATGTCAGAGATGTGACTTGAACCTGGATCTCAATGACTTTTTCAAAACCAGTTCTTTAACTGCTCAGCCATATAAATAAAGATGAAAATGAAAGTATCCTGGCCCTTGAGGAGCTCATTGTTGATTATTGATTATATACAGGCAAGATTGTCCAAGAATATTAAAATGCCCCCAAACTGTTGACAGAGAAAACCCTTCTTCATCCTTCCAGTATTCTTTTTTCTTTTGAGCATTCACTGGTTTTTCTTCACTACATTTAAGACAGGGTAGGTCCTCTCAAGGTGTTCAAGTCTGCACACACACATATAAAGATACAAATACACATATATAGGTGTAAACATGCATACATATATACATACATCACATATTATATATGTATCTATATGTATGATATGTAGTTTTCACATGAACAGAATGGTACAACCAAAATTTCATTACTGTTCACAGTTGGTGCTTTGTAATTCTATGTAATTTTAATTAAAGAAGAATTCTGGAACAGTCTCCTTCTGTGCTACCTCCAAGCACACAATTAGTAGAGTACAATTTCTGCTGTGAACAGTCAGTTAATGATTTCAGTTTAATAATTTATGATTGCTTCCTTGGGGCCAGCCATATGAGAATGACAGAAAGGTAAAACAGGATGTAAACAGTCATTGAAGGTGGAGGTTGAAATGGCTGGAAGGCCATAGCTTATGTCTTCTGCACATAGATCTAGTCATATTATATGGCTTCTCATATTGTATATGATGCGTACACAACACATGGTCATTGTTTCAAAATATGAGTCCCAGTTAGAATAAAGTCCTTATAGGAAAATAATAATAATAATAATAATAATGTAATATCTTTCAATTTGATAGTTTCCTTTCTCTTGATTATACCAGTTTCCTTTACAAATGGTGTTCAAACTAGGGTCAAAGAACCTGAGTTTACATTCCAGACCTACCTTATGTCATCTTTGTGATTTAGGGCAAGTCGCTCTAGGCCTGAATTTCTTCATTTGTAAAAAGAAGATGTTGAATTAAATGATCAATTAGGCCCATTCCAACTATAGTGCTATGAACTGCCCCAATTCACCTCTTTGAACCTTGATTTTGTCACCCGAGGATAAAAAAGAGGTTGGACTAGAAGACCTTTCAGATTTCTTCCCAGTCTAAATCTCTGATTCCTCTTAAAATCCAGGCACTGTTCTATTAACCTTATTTCTTTATGTTTTCCATATAAATGATTTTCCAATATATTTTTCATAGTGCATTGGGAGGCTGGCATAAAAGTACAAGCATTGCCTTTTCAGTTTGTTTATAAGACGCAAGAGTAGGACAGTTTAATATCATCCTAATTTTCAGAAATGTTTTCTTAGACCATGCCCTGCCTGGCCCTGGGTTTGGCATCCATACAAAGAGTGTAATAGAATAAGTCTCTCAGATCATTCACATCTGACAGGAAGAAAATATAATTGAGTTAGTTTTCCTCACTGATGGAGTAGTGAGGGGGCCTCTCGACAACCAAGTTCACTAAAAGTATAATTTAAATCACTCATCATTAAATGATCACACATACTCAAGTCCTGTGAGCTCATGACTTTGCTGGCTCGAGCACTAAAATGTAATTCACACATTTGACACTTAGTAGTTATCTTAAGGAGTGAAATTAACCTGTTGCAACTTACCAGGGACTTTTATAATTACCTGTGTCCACCAGCAAATTTTAGGACAAAAATGATTTGACGTAGTCCAAATGGTGTTGTTAAAAGAATTTCATGACATGCAAGGAAAAGTGGACTGGGGAAGGCTTTGAAAAATATATAGCAATTAAAATTTCCTTCTTTTTGTAACTGTGATAACACTGTCATGCTCTGCTGACATTAAAACATGTGCATAACACATATGTGTATATATATATGTATATACACACACATAAGCACAAATACATGTACACTTGCATACATACACACATTCTGATATACATAGGAATGGTTGTGTCACCCCAAAATAACAATCCCATATTCTTCTTTAGTATTTAATGATGTAATCTCAGAAGCCACCTACTTTAATGTGACTAACTCTGAACACAAGATTATATACTTTTACATAGCCATGAAGTTTTACTTTCTGCTATGTTAAAAGCAGTGCCCACAGTGATATAAGACTGTTGTATGATTAGCATATACAAAAGTCTTGTTTGAGAAACACTAACAAAAGCAGCAACCTATAAATATTTTAAAATCATGCCTTCAACCATGGAAAATGTGTTATATGTTTTACTGTCCATTTGGGGGATAAGAACATCTGTAAATTATTTTTTTCAGATATTCGGGACAGTGGGGGCCCCAAACCTGTGATGGTGTACATTCATGGTGGCTCCTACATGGAAGGCACAGGGAATTTGTATGACGGCAGTGTCCTGGCAAGTTATGGGAATGTGATAGTCATCACAGTCAACTATCGGCTGGGGGTACTTGGTAAGAAGAGTTTTTAATCCCATTCATCCAAGAAATGTGTGATGAAAATACCTTTTATATTCTTATGGGTGTATGTTTTTTGAACATGAAGATTGGTTTTCTTCTTAAGGGGAAAAAGAGTCCTTTCCTGTTGCTATAGAAATGTCTGATGATTTGCCAAAGGCCAAATGAAAGTGTTTTTTCAGACATAAAGATGGAAAGAAAGTGAATTAATCAGATTGTTTGGGAATGTAGTTCCTGTGGTGTAAAGTCAACATGGCAGAGGTACACGAAAGAATAATTACGGAGTCCCTGAGATTTTTGTTTTCTTATAAATGAATAGAATAGTCTGGTTTGCAGTGGAATTGAATTGTCTGAGATTGAATTGTCTTAAGGAATTTGGATGCTAGGCGTTGCCTATTGGGGGGGTGGAGGAGAATGATGCTATTTGATGCTTGTTTCATTTTCTCAGTAACAGATATGAAATTTGATGTTGAATTTTTCTCTTAGTTTAAACTTGAGTTGAGGAACCATACGTTGGCTTCATTACAAAAAAAAAAAAAAGATACATTTTAATTCACTTATTGGTGGCATGTCCCAAACAAGTCAAATATTAAGAAGCCAAAAAGAGTATGCATTTTGAGGATTTTTTATGTACATAAAATGCTTTGATATACTTGTAGATGAGTGTGGTCAGAAAGAGATTCTCTGTCAAATTTCTTTGAAAGATAAACTTACATTATTTACTTCTATGGACTTACCAGTATATTCTGATAGTTATATACAGTAAACTAAATTGTGTTTTGAAATGCCTTCATGTTGATTGTCTACCCATGAATAGAATTTATCTCTGAAATTTGTCTTTTGCATGTGAATATTTCTCACTGGTTATTCATGCTTCATAATACTTAAAATAGTACCTTGTTTTCACAAAAACTATATAATGTTAATTTGGGGAGAAAGGAAGGGAATATAAAATTTTGTTGGAGAAGCACTTAATTGTGTGTATCAAAGTATCACACTCTTCTATGCTCATGTATTTGGCAGAAAGTTTACTAAGTTTTTTCCACTGAGATTCATCCCTAATCATCATTTCTTTGTCATTTGCTTGTAATACATTTTTGCTTCCCTTCATATTATTAGCTATTACATTACTATCTCTTCTGTTTAATCATGATCTGGTGATTATGCTCTGTTTTTTTTAATAAATGAAAATGAGGAAAATATAATTCACATCTGCCATTTTGGAGAAGTTGCAGACATTAACTCTGCACAAGGTTCCATTGTGACATCATCTATTCCACATGTTAGATGTACTTTGAATCTCAAGTATAGTATGCGTCTGAAATATTTTTTAAAAGATAACTACTTGCACATCAGTACTAATTTACTGCATTTGTTAGCCTAAACACATAGTTCCCACCTTTCTTACTTTCTTACTCTTGGTTTGCTCATTTCTAGTGAGAATCTAAAGCAGACCTGGGTGTGTGTTGTGTTTTACACCTTAAAAAGGCACTATTTTGCATGGTTGCAGCTGAGTCTCTAGTGTAAAGAGCAAATTGATAATGTAGATGTTGCTTCATCTGTAGCATGCCAAACAATATGTTTGAGTGTTGTCTTGTTGTTTTGACTCAGTTTGACTCATTTGATCTGATTTCTATTTTCTGTGGGTTCAGTAGAGTATTTTGTCTTTGACATTAGCCTGTCAACTTTATTCAAAGTACTTATAGCCCCTGAAAGCATGGCATAAGACCATAATTTGAAACTGGTTTGATTCAATATTTCTTGGGATATATTCATTAAGAACATAGTGTCCGAGAACAGAGATTCTACTTACCGCCTTCCTAAAAGCTTTGTTTCCTTTTGAAGAGAGAGTTAAGTCATAATCTTGGTCATACATATAATTACTTATCTAGATTGTGATAACATTAGAAACATGTCTCCATGTATTGCATTGGGTTTTACATAAGCATTCAACTATGTAGCGGTCCACAGGCAATGGTTACATTGTGACTTAAAAGTTCAAAATCCTTCTTTCTCTGAAGACAATTTGAACCTTTTTTCAGTTATTTTAGGAGAAATATTTTTAAAATTACAGGACGCTGGTAGACTTTCAATTGGTTAAGTTGTAATATGTAAATCTTTGATTCCCAATCATTCTGTTACATTTTTAAGAATTCCTAAATTTGCTACAAACTACTTAGCAGGGTGAATGGCCCATGTTCAGATGAAAATAAACACAAGAAAGTCTGTTGGTGTAAGTTCACAAACATTGGGAAAGAATATACTTGAACAGGATCCCATTGAGAAAATAGAAGAATCTCCCCAGGACATAGGGGCATAGATCAGATCAAGGACATTACTGCCTTGAGGTTGTAGGGCTAGATAAGGTTAGATGAGTGATATTTATGGATGCGAGACATATTAAGTTAGGGCTTGTGAACTAGGACAGAGGCAATTCTGGAGGAGGGTGAAGAGATGGAAATGAATCTATGATTGTAGTATAGAATCCCAAATTGTGAAGGCATCATAGCACAAAGTGGTGGCTGTCTCTTTCACACAGTTGGCAGATTTATGATAATAAAAATAAAAATTAAAATAAAAAGAGATATCCAGAGCAAATAAAATCAAGGTGACTTCAACATTCATATAATATACTTTAGGTTGCTACTTAAAAGGGAAAAAGAATAACAGGCCTCTTCCTCACACATTTGCTGAAAGTGAATTTTTATTTTCAGTGATAAAGTTTATATTAGAAAAATTATGGAGCTAACCCATCAAGAACTCCACATTGAAATGTTTTACTGGTCCTCAGTGATGCAAATAACTATAGATGAAGGTATTGCCCTAAAAAGGACAAAAGTCTCTTGCTTATTTCCATGGCCTCTTTTGAAACTTTCTCAAGGGTAATGATTTCAGATTCCCTTCCCCCCCCCAGTTTTATGAGAGTTATTATGGGTAGTGATAGAAAGTATTCACTCAGCCTCAGACAATGAGCTACTAGATATATATATATATAGATATATATATATATATACATACATATATACACATATATGTATGCATATATATATGTATATACAGACTGCCGTGTTGCCATATTCCCTTAGTAAAATTTGATTTTGATTACTTTTCCTTAGCCATTTTTACTCCCCAGTCTCCACTGAAGTAGGGGTAGGTGGGAAGGATTATCTTCATATCTTCATATTTTCTAAATTATACCTACTGCCTTATATAGAGATGTTAATTATATATGTATATGTACATATATACATATACATACGTACATAAAGGCACACACATATATTTGTATATATGTATACATATATATGTATGTGTGTGTATATGTGTGTATGTGTATATATATATATATACATACATATATGTATCAGACAAGAAACTTTTGTCCTCATTTACTTACCAATCACTTTGACATCTTCAAGATATTGTTTTTTGTTTGTGCTCCAATACATTTACCTTTGACCTTTCCACTTTTTTGCATATTTCTTTTCGTGCTTGTCTACCCAGGTCTCTAATGTCAAAAACAAACAAACAAACAAACAATAAACTGTGGTATAGTGGATAAAGAACTGGTTTCAGCACTAGGAAAACCTGGGTTCAAGTCATGCTTTTGAAATATATTGACTGTATGTCCCTCATCAAATTATTTGATGTATTAGTGTGATAGGCAAATCTCTAAGACTGTAAGTAGTAAAGTGTTGACTGAATTAGCAGAGGGAGTTTCCTCACTAGGGAATGTTGTTGTTCAGTTGTTTCAATCGTGTCTGATTCTCCTTGACCTCATTTGGGGTTTTCTTGGCAAAGATACTGTAGTGATTTGCCATTTCCTTCTCCAGTTCATTTTATAGATGAGGAAAGTGAAGCAAACAGGACTAAGTGACTTGACTAGGGTCACACAGCTAGTAAGTGTCTGAGGCCAAATTTGAACTCAGGTCCTCCTAAATCAAGGCCCAGTGGTATAGTCCCTATTCCACCTAACAGCCAAAGAAACCACAGTTCCAGACCCTATCACCTGGCCCATTTTTTATATCTTTTTATGTTAAAACATTTTGAAAGTAATGGAAGTATTATGGGGTCATCTATAGTATGGAAAAAAAAGAAAAGAGACTTCTTAAACATTTGGGAAGTAGAGATAGTTAATGACTATATTTCACTGGTAGATCCAGGATAAAAAAGAAACTTAACTTTGGAAGAAGTGTGACACATATTCTTCAAACCAGATTTAATAAAAATTATATCTGTTGGAAATTAGATAACATATATGATGATGTTATGTGTGCTAATGGATAGTTAATGTGTATTTATTTTGGTCAAATATTCTTGCATAGATTTTTGAAAAAGTCATATCTTTTTGATTCATGGGCACATTTGGGGAAAAACACTATTATATATTTCTTCTGGGAATGTTCATTCTACAGTTTTCATTTAGGCAATGATGTCATAGGTTTCTCATTTATTTTATTTTACTTTCCACAGTTTTACTGCATAAAAACAAAAATTGGTAATATGACAGATTTGCTAATGGAAAAATTAAAAAGGTTACAATAAATTTATATTTATTTTACATTAGAAAGGGCAAAGAGGGTCATTGATACTTTTGATTTTATCCGCGACCTTCCGTTTTCTAATTAAGACAATCTTACTTTCTTGGAGCAACATAACATTCTTATTATTACTAATAATAATATGATAAAAATAACAAGGATGAGTAATCATCATCATCATCATCACAGTATTGCAGTATCTAAATACCTTGTATATGGCAAGCTCTCTGTTGGGTAATATTGTGGGTAAATGCTCCATGTTTTAGTTGGAAAGACAAGTAAACATAAATGAAACAATAACCAGTCAATTAACAAACATTTAGTGAACAGTTGACTGTGTTCCAGGCATGGTCCTACATGAAGATACAAGGACAAAAAGGTAAATGAAGAATCTGCTTTCAAGAAGTTCACACTGTATCAGCTCCTCATATGTGGATATATTTCCATTTATTGCCC